AAAGAACTCAAGAGAAGTCTGAGACTCAGAAGGGCAGCAATGAAAGAATTAGGAAAGAGCATCAAGTGTAAGGAAGTGTCATTAGAGACCAAGGCCAAGATTATCTCCACCATCGTATTCCAGTTACTATGTACAGGTGTGAAAGCCGGACAGTGAAGAAGGCTGACGTGGAAAAATGGATTCATTTGAAACATGGTGTTGGAGGAGAGCTCTACGGACGCCCTGGACTTCCAGAAAGATGAACAAGTGGGTCCTGGAGCAAACTAAGTCTGATTATTGCTGGATGGAAAAATGATAAAACCGAGGCTGTCCTACTTTGTGCACATCATGAGAAGGCACAATTCCTTGGGGAATACAATAATGCTGGGAAAAGTAGAAGGCAGCAGGAAGAGAGGATGCCCAAATAAGAGATGGATTGACTCCACACAGGAAGCCATAGGCATGAGTCTACAGAAGCTGAGCAGGGCTGTGAGGACAGGACATTGTGGACAGCATTCATTCATAGGGTGGCCAGGAGTTGGAGCTGACTTGACGGCAGGTAACAGCAGTGACAACTCATCTACACTGGTAAAGGTTGACTGTTGTATTCATCTAATGACATGAGTGTCTAGAAAAAATGTGCTGTCTTCCTTTGCTGTCACACACAATACCTCTAATAGCAGATGTGTGTTTCAGGAGCTCTGTGCCAGGAACTGGAGGTAGACCAATATAGATATAGATCTTTCTCAATTTACGATGAGGTGACATCCCTATAAACCCATTGCAAGTTGAAAATATTAAGTTGAAACACACCTAATCTACTGAACATCCTAGCTTAGCCTCACCTACCTTAAATGTTCTCAGAACACTTACATTAGCCTACAGTTGGGCAAAATCGTCTAATCCAAAGCCCATTTTATAATAAAGTTTGGATATCTCATGAAATTAAGTACTGTACTGAAAGGGAAAAACAGAACGTCGTCTGGGTACAGAATGGATGTAAGTGTGTTTGTTGTTTACCTTCATAATGGTGGTGCCTGATGGGGAGCTGTGGCTCAGTGCCGCAGCCCAGCATTATGGGAGAACGCCATATCACCTGTTGCTGGCCAGGGAAAAGATCAAAATTCAAAATTCAAAGTGTGGTTTCTACCGAATGCGTATCACTTTCACACCGTGGTAAAGTCAAAAAGTCTTAAGTCAAACCATCATAAGTCGCAGAGCATCTGTATTGTCTCTTATTTCCCAGTAGGCTTCAGATATGCAACACAGCAACTGACTGAGCTCTGGAGAGCAAGAGATAAATCCATAACTTTAGATGGGGTTTTTACTGAGACAGCTAAGAAATATATAGACCAAATGGATAAGATATGAGGAGAGACATAGAGGACCAGAATAACAGAGAGTAATAGGTTATAGCATAGTGTAGGGATGAAATCAGGAGCTCAGGAGAGCTGGGCCAGAGAGCTGAGCAGCTGGTGGTCAGGGTTGCTGATTAAAGCAAAGCCAAATGGAAGTAACAGAGAAGGCTTTAATCACTTACTGTGGTGGAAGAAGTGAGAATCTGAAAGAGGAGAAAGCGTCAGCCTCCCTGTCCCATTTCCCCTCCGTGGAAGGGCGCATCAGCCAAGAGTCCGGTGGATCAGCTCAGACGCAGGCTTGTCTCATTGTTGAGAGAGTCCTGAACAAAAGTCTCCTGCGGTTTTATGGGCCTGGGAGCTGGGATGAGGGCAAGGAGAAAGGGCTAGGAGTGGAAAGATGCTGAGTGCTGAGTCAGAGTGGGGAAAGGTGGCTTCTAGGCTCTCCAATGAGGAGACCTCCAAGTGGAGGAGCTCAGACTAGGACTAGGAATGCAGACAGGCATAGGAGCATGGCTGGCCCAGGCGCCCGAGTCCTTAACTGCAGCCCCTTCTGGAGACCGCAATGCATTGGCTGTGCACCATCTATTGTAGGAAGGGCAACGTTCTCCCAGGAGGCCTGCCAGGCAAAGCCTTGGTACTTGCTCTGGTCAAGCCTGAACAAATCACACTTTTTTGGCCAGGAGCTGAATTCTCAAACATGTAATCAAGGGCCAAACTGCCAGGGTCCTCACCACTGCCACTTAGCTCTGCCCCCGACTGAAAGTCATGGGATCATAAACCAGTTATTTAACAATTCTGTGCATTGGTTTTCCTATTTTTTAAATGGGAATAAGTTTGTTATAAGAAAGTGTATTATATATTTTATCTATACAAACAGTATCTGGCACATAGTAAGTGCTAAAATTATGATAGCACTTGTTTATATGTATATATAGACACAAACAGCTTGCTCTCTCTGTATATACATGATGTGCTTACATATTTTTACATGTATTTTACATATATTTTATATATATTACATATATATGATTTTATACCTAAATGATAAGCATATGCATTCTTTTCATATTCAAATTGAATATTTAAAGTTTGACCATAAAATAGGCCATGCTTTACTTTTGTCACTGTTCACTTCGTATTGACGAGAGCTCAGTCACACGGCCGCAACAAGGGTGTCTTGGAAATGTATTCAAACCATGTGTCCAGAAATAAGGGAAATTAATTTTCGATAGAACAGCTAAAGTCTGTTCTATAGTTTGCCTTTTTCTGGTTACCATCTACCTTTGCATATCCGTTTCCAACTCGTATAATATACTCGCTCTCTCACCAAAAGACAAAATCTAAAATTTCACCCATTACTGCTTCTCAAAGTTCTGGATCTTGGAGAAAATACCCTCCTCTCCTTCAGGAATAAGTATTACTACTCCTGGTCTGCTAACATAAAAACCGGGTAGGTAAATTATCTGTCGCTATCCTTGTACACAATGTACAATGGTGGAGACAGGCATTGGCTATCTATCTACCACAAAAACCCACATTCAGAAAAAGGAAGACATGGAAACACTGTAATCGTTGATTCCTTGCAACAATATTAATTTGCTGGGCCGATGGGGTTAGAAGTTTTTAAAATTAGATTCTGGATCTGTTTTTTGAGAGAATCTCTCCTGCTTCCACCATCTGAGAGTTTTTCTCTTGTCTCTTGTCCCCATAGACAAACCTCATCAGAGCATTGGAGAATATGCTCCCTTGAAGACTGAGGAATGTGGCACAATTTCTTTTGTTTGAAAGTTCAATAAATTAAAGTTTTATTAGGCCATAATATTGGATTCTAGGGGCATACAAATCATTCAAAAACATATCAGGTTTCTAACCTATCTGTCTTCAATATCTCCCACATTCCAGAAACCAAAGCCAAGGCCTGAGGGTCTTCTGAAACAATAGGCTGGGCTGGGAAGGCCAAACTTTTAATTAAACCTTTGCCATAAGGTTGTGCCTATATTTAATTGAGAAAACCTGATAGACCTTTGACCGTCAAGTCCTTTTCATTCCGCTCGTGCTGTAGGGGATCGAGAAGCACTTGGCTTATACACTCATGCCCCACATTTCTGGATCCTCTCGGTTCCTTTTCATTTATGCTTGAAAACTCGTCTATTTTAGCCAGCTATTCATACATTGCTATAAACAAGTCACACTGATCACACAGAGCCTGAGACCGTTCTGGCTGTTTCCCACTTTCTACGAAGCAGCGGGTTTCCTGGGCACTTGGTCTGCCTTCCAAATTACTGTAGGCAACTAAAATATCAAATGTTTTTCCACGAAAAAAAAGTTTCTCCATTTTCAGTCTGTGATATTATTTCCTTGCCATCTCCTTTTTGGTTGCTAAATGAATGACACGCATTTTAGGTTTTGGTTATGACACCATCCCATTTCTGAATATTAATTCTTTTTTATTGTATCTGAAGTACATACACATTTTAAATGATGTTAAGCAGGTAGCCTGCTTTCTGAAGACTATTTCTTAAAGCTATCTACTAAACTAGTGATTTTCCAACTTCTTTTTTTGCTACAACCCACAATAAAAACAAAATTTATATTGTCATCCAGTAAACATGCACACAAACACATGCATACCAGATGGGCCAACAGGGATGTCTAAACTAGGATGCTTCTAGCAAACCTGCATATCTGAATACTGCAAATTCCCTTTCTGCTGCTAGACCAATTTTTCAAAAGAGATTTGTAAAAACTGCAAAAAAATTGAAAAATACTAAGCATTTAGCAACGGTATGACAGCTAGTTTAGTCCTTTGAGATCCTAAAATCTCAAAAGGTGAATTCTGTATTTTAATTACGGTATTATATTTATTAAATAGTGACCTTATGATTAAAAGTGAATAATAAGTATCATCCATCACATGATAACTAAGTTTTATTTAAAGTTACATATGCATCTTTTCACGTAAAATTTATATCCTTAAACATTACTTTACAGTTTCAATTGATCCAACTTTAACAGTACTTAGAAGGATCAAGAATAAACAGTGGGTAAAACATCAACCATTTTGCTATCCAAAAGAGGTCTTTATTATTATAATTACCAATAAAAAAAGGTACTGGCTTACTATTGAAGCACTGGTTTCTATAAAAAGAAGTTAAAGGCACTATGGGAGTTGCCTGGTGGAGTAGTGGTTAGGTTTGCGTGCTCCATTTGGTGGCCTGTGGTGTGGGTTCGGATCCTCGGCACAGACCTACACACTGCTCATTAAGCCATGCTGTGGCAGCATTCCACATACAAAATAGAGGAAGATGGGCACAAATGTTAGCTCAGGGACAATATTCTCAAGCAAAAAGAGAAGATTGGCACAGATGTTAGCTCAGGGTCAATCTTCCTCACCAAATAAAAAGAAAAGAAAAGAAAAGAAAAAAGGGACTATGTAATTTCCTAAAGCTTAAAGGTTCACAGAGGTGCAACTTAATGTGGAAGGAGAGCAAATTCTAAAGTTGACTATTAAGATGAAATAGAATATTATCACAGCATCCTTAAGCAACTCTTAAATTAAAAGGAAATTCAAATTTGGAAGCTCAAAAAGAAAGGATATTTTGGTTTATTTGTTTCTCTGTACTTATGCCATGGTCTTTCAATTTGCAATCTTTTTCTTTTAAGGCCTGTTCACAGGACACCGTCTGAACACAACACGGTGTGGAGGACGCTGAGAACGATTCCCAATTTAACGTCTCAGCTAAGTGATGAGCATCTGAAAATACTTAGTAAGAATATCATTTCCGAAACCTGGGTAAAAGGCAGCACAGGTAACAGGCTGAGAAGGAGGGAAATATTCAAGATCAAATGCACGTCACTATTTTGAGTTCTCTATCATCATGATATTCATAATTTCACTTGACATGTTAAAAAGGTACTACTGGATGTATTTCATTTGTAAGGTCGTAAGTATTGAAATGGATAACATTTCACATTTTAGTACTTAGGTTTTAAAGGTACACACTTGTGTTTCTCCACCTTGAGCCTGAATGAGAATCTACTAGGGGACTCACTGAAACATATTGCTGTGTTCGCCCCTAAAGTTTCTGGTTCAGCAGGTCTGCATGGGGCTTAATTTGCATTTCTTATAATATTCCAGGTGATACTGCCAGTCTGGGGACTGACTGTACTTTGAAAACTACTCATTGACTTACACATTTAATAACAATCTGGCATTGGTTTTCATAGTTAAGACAGCAAGTGGTCAAAGTGATTATTTGATCCAGGTACTGATCTAGATATTGGAAGAAAACCTTTCCAGACGGACTTTAGTTTCCCAATTTTAATTTCAAGTCCCTTTACCAATGACATATTGGGTATACGATTAGAAGTATTTTATATTTTAATTTTTTGGGGGGAGTATACAAATAAGCAAGCACAGAGTCACACCCTTCCCCCCAAACCAACAGAGCTCAACATCACTTTTTGCATTTATCAAGTACCTACTAGAAAAGAGGGACCAAATTTATTTAATACATTCTTAGTGTTAGGGATATCCCTTATTTATTCCTCACAGTAACAAATAATACTAGATATTATTATTATTATTCTCTACAGTTGAGGACCCTAAGGCACAAAATATTGTGTAGCGTATTTCTTAGAATTAAATTTCAAACAAGCTTTAGCCTTAATGTATAAAGTGCATGTCAGAATCATGATATTTAAAATCTAACTGGAATTTTGGAGAACATGTGTCTATTGAAAACATTTACATATTTTGAGAGTTTTCCTCCAATGGTCCTCTCTCATAATTAGTTTCATTTAATCTGACATCAAACAATGAAAATTAAATCATAGGAGTTTTGCAGAGGATAAAATGATTTTAAAGGGAAAGAAAGAACAAACTTTCAGCATTGCTTTCCCATTGGCTTGGGATAGTAATTAAAACATTAATTTGTTTTGTCATAAATCCCTGAAATTATATTTATTATGGTAAAAAATATGGAAACAACTGAAATGCGCTTTAATAGAAGAGTACACATACACTGTGATATGTCTGTTCCATGGAATTCTAGGCAGTGGTTAAAAGGAATGAGGTAAATCTATACATATTGATGTGAAAACTTATTAAAGGCAGTAAAGAAAAATAAGACAAGTGAGGAATTATATAAATACTATGATCAATTGATCATATTTTCATAAACACTTCAGATTTATAACTCAGAAATTATATATACTTATGTGTGCGCATATATAAAAAATATATAGTAAAAAATATGTAAGAGCAGATCCAGAAGGACATTCCAAAAATACAAAAATTTGAGGCCAGCCCCATGGCCTAGTTGTTAAGTTCAGTACGCTCCACTTCCATGGCCTGGGTTCAGTTCCCAGGTGTGGACCTACACCACTCGCCAGCCATGCTGTGGCCATGCCCCACACACGAAATAGAGGCAGACAGGCACCGATGTTAGCTCAGGGTGGATCTTCCTCAGGAAAAAGAAAAAAAAAAAGTAGGTAGCTCTAAAATTGTTTCCTTAGCAGAGGGGCAGTGAAGGGGAGCAATTCTTTCTTCTACATGTATTTGTGTTGAATTTTCCACAATGAATGTGTGTTCATGTTAGTGTTTGTAACCACATATTTATTTTTTTAAAGCTTTTAAAATTACAATTAGAAGCAAATATTGTATTCTGATGGTATCAATAACTCAGGTGATTATTAAAATATGAACTTTCATTCTTTGACAAATATCAACTTTAATTTCTTTATATTAAAATAAGCTATTCCAACTCACACTTGAATGGGGCATACTCTCAAACACTTTAAAAAATTTAGAAGTCTCTGTTTACATCTACCTGTGTTAAAGTCCTTCTCTTGAATTTGTAAGACATCTAATTCTGACAGCTCAGATCTGGTTCACTATCAAAGCAGTCAACTCATTAAACATCTGACCTTTGTAAATCGCTTTGTTCTTAAGAAACAAGCCCAACCGCCGTGGTTCTCTCTCCGTGTTCTTCATTCCTGTGTGCCTTTCCTCCCTCCGCTGTTGGTTGAAGTGCCCCCAGGTGCCCCTCATCACCAGGCTGCTGACTTTCAATCTGCTGCTGGGGCTTCCCTTTCTCGCCTGCGATCCCACACAGCTGCGCACACCTTCTGGTCTCTCTTCTGGCCCAAGGTTCTTTGGAGCTTCGTTATTTAAGGCAATTCCCTAACCTTACCATTACTCACTCAGCCTTCACTCATTCGGTTTTCTGAAACAATAAAATATTAACAGGGATAACAATATTATGATTTTAAGAACTGAATAACACATAGGCATATCTCTAGTTTAAGTGAGTATGGTACTAAAACATGATTACTATATTAATACTATATTATTTATTTACTATATTAAGATTACTATATAAAGGATTACTTATATTACTATAATAAAAATACTATATATAATACATATTACATATAGTAATCTCTTTCTACGTGCTATATAGGTACATAGATCTAGTTTGCTTAATTCAGATGATCTCAAGAGATTTCCATTGCATCTCTTATTTTATGGCTTGGGCAGGAGGCATTTTTTTCGAGTGGTAACATAAAGCTCATGAAAACTAAAATTAGCTTGCTTGAAAATCCAGTTTAGTGGCTAATCTAGAATTAGATCCTAGATCAAAATTTCGTTACAACTGCCTTTATGTTAACGGTGAAACATTCCCATGAAATGATTGATATAGAGGTTTTACTTTTATGTCTATATCGTCTGTATTGTTTTCTGTACTTGAAGTCCGTTAGGTCATACAGTGTTATTTCTCTTCTATTTTTTCATTTTACTGCTAACTTTTATGAAGTTCTATCTCAAAAACACTATAGCTCCTCATTTGAATAAAATCTTATATTTATTCTTAATTCTGAAAAATATTTTTATATTATAAATTTGTAACATTTCCTTAAGCTGCATAGACTTGATTTTCTGTCTGGTTTAAATTTCATTGCACATATTATGAAAACACGGTAGCTAAATCTCATGAAAAATGTAGTGGGCATCTTTTTTAGATATAAATTAACCATAATTCAAATAATATACTCTCAGAATAGCATATTATTTTATAATAATAAAATATTTAGTCCTACCATGAAGACCACAGCTCTGTTAACGAGGCCTTGAGGAATGTGCATTGATCCTAAAGAATATATATGCTTTCACTGCAGCTTAGGTGCTCTTTATGACTCGAAGATTCATCCTTGGAAGCTGGCCAGAAGTCTTTTTCAGTCTCTGTCCATATTGTGAGAACCCAATTCCATTTCTACTTTTCCCTATCCAAGAGACGATTGTGAAGTTTTGAGAAATTAATGCAACAACAACGGTTCTTCAATCTCAGGACAATACCAGAGACCCTTGCCACTTATTTCTCTAATATTGCCATTGAATCTTACTTTTGAACTTATAAGCAGCGGTGATATCCGAAATATTTATCACCTGATCAGAACATGTGCTCCCCAGTCACCATGAACGCTGCCCTGAAGAGTTGGGGTGGGTGTATTAGTAATAGAAAGCCCACATGCGTAACTTCCTCCACTTCTGTTACCGAAATATTTTCAATTAATAAAGAACTGCTTTTCAGGTTGCTTTATATAACTGTACTGCTCTATATGTAAAATTTAGTTTTTTAAAAATCTACCTGATTTTATTGGAAAAAATAATCAGAGTAGAAGTAATACTTGTTCAATCTCTCTAGGCTAATTCTTAGATTGTCATAGTTCAGAAGAGTTGGCAGCTTTGCCCAACCATGAGGAGTCATTTTTCAATAATGCTTTTTGTACGCTCTTGTCACGTGCAAAAAAGGGAAGGTGGTCCTGTGTTGAATGCTTAGGAAAGAAAATTGCGTCGAACTGGTTCCCATTTCTTACAATAATACAATCATCAATTCATTGATTTAACGCCCACGTATTGAGTGCTTGCTGTGTGCTAGTGACTGTCCTTTGGACTTAGTTTCTAGGATGGGAGACAGAAAAAAAGCATTAAGTGAAAGCATAATATAATTTCAGGAAATACGTTGTACGAAAAAATAAAACAGAGCAAAGCAACAGAGAGAGGCTGGAAAACGGAAGAAGAGTTCTTTGAATGATGAAGATAATGATATTAATTATATATTTTATATAATGTTTATTGATCTGGCACGATTCTAAATAATTTATGATTACTACCTTGCTTAATACTCTCAAAACTGTATGAAATGTATGGTTACTATGCCCTTATGTAGAAGAGGAGCTTGAGGAATAGATCTGAAGCCAGCTGGACAATGTAATACGGCACGATGGTCAGAAACCACGTGTACAAGATGTCTTGCTGTGTAAATAAGCAAGATAAGAACTGAAAAATGACACCTTTAATTTGATATTTGAAAGGTGGTAAAATTTTTGAAGGTAACGCTGTCTTCAGTGTTTTAGGGCAGCCTTTCCTAAAGAGTGTTTGTGGAGTTCAGCTGCAGATAATGGATGTTAAAATAGCTGGAAAAATAAACAAACCAGAGAAACACTTGTGGGCATGACAGGTTAAGGACCTCCAAGAATCCAGAAATGGAATAAAAGGACGGGCAAAGACTGTCAATATCAACTTGTTCAGAGCTCTGGAAAAGACCTTCCACAGTTCAAGGAGTGTTTATTCAAGAAAAATGGTGGAATTTTGGTAAGAATAGTGAGTTTTGTGGCATTTCCCTTCGCTGTTCCCATGACACTAGATGCCAGCTCTGCAGTGGCCTTGAGAGCTGTGGCCTTACAGCCACAGCCACGTGAAGGCCAGTCTCCTGAGAGCTGCTGGAGGGGGAAGGGTAGGTTTGAG